TCCGGTCAATCCTTGTCTTGCATTTGTTAACTTGACTTTGTTATGCCGATTGACATTTCAACGGAAGGTTTTGACTGGTTGGGTATATTTGGTGTTTGACTTATGATTGAATGTCCGAATAATTTTGCATTGTCTATACATTCTTAGCCAGTAAACCTAACCCACTCCTATATAGCTATTATTATTTTATTTTTTAAGTTCATAAAATTATTCTTTCTTTTTTTCGGTAAATACATAAAATTGTTCTATTGACAGATCTGTAGTATCAATATATATTGCTTTTGTTTTAGTCTAATTACTAATTTAATTTTTTTATTTTTTAAATTATTTATAATTTTATAAAATTAAAAATACATCAATATTTTTTCGTAGTTTTATTTTTATGTGCTGATATCTCTATTAAGTAGAATAAGAAAAAATATTAATGAAATAGAAGGAAAATCTTAATCAAACAGAATTATATCTTCCTAAAATTAAAATTTTTTTAATAAATTTTTTTTATTATTAATAATATTTATTTATTTTGGTAATTAAAAATATTTATTTTAAAACAGAGTGTTTAGTGTTTAATTTTTATAATTTTGTTTTTAATTTGTGTACTCACATTATTCTTTGGTTGAAACTTGAAAGCTTCAATTAACACTTAAGAAATTATTCTCTAAACAAATTTAATAATACATTTTTCGAATAATTTTCCTAATATTCATTTATTATTATGCTAATTTGATTAATAAAAATAAACTTAAATTATTTAATAAAATAATATGAAATTTAACCCGATAATAAAAGACAATAATCACAATATGGATTAAAATACATTTGTCACGCTGACATGGTAGATTACGCAAGTGGGAACTTTGAAGTTTCAACCTGAAGTTGATACGTGTCTTTCATAGAAGGTAGTCTCCACGAGAAAATTTTAGGTGATCCCGACTCATCTAAACATGCGGTGGTCCAGCCATTCAAAATATTACACGTGGACTCATTAATCCACATCATTATAATAGTTGGCAGTTTTTATTTTTTATTCATTAATATTTTTTTTAATATTTTTTTTATTTCAGAATCCCTTTTGCGTCGTCTCTTCTCTTCTCTGAATTCTCTTTCCCATATCAAGCCAACTTGAATCCTATCCCGCCTGTCGCAACCATGGTGCACAACGCCACAACCACATCAGAGACCCCAACCATGGTGCACAACGCCACAACCGCGCCGGACCACCATCTCACCTCTTCTTGCACGCCCCAACCCCGTCACACACCTCGAGTCGCATGATGCAACCGCGCCGGACCGCCGTCGCACCTCTTACTGCACACCCCAACCCTAACCGCATCGCACACCTCAAATCAGTGTAGCACTGCATCCCAATATTTAATAAAGTTTTCAGATTTTTATTTTGTGTTCAATAGATCTGGTATTTCTCTTAATTCTTTTAGAGCTATTGTTGGTTGATTTGTCAATTATTTTCTCTGTAATGTTGTGAATGTCGTAACAAGAGTTGTTGTTTTGTGGTTCGAAATGTTTTTCCAATAGATATAGACTTGTAACTTTTATTGGGTTTACTCCTGCAATTAAACAAAATTTGAGAAGTCAGAGCCTTTCTTATGTTAGAAACTTTTGGTTTCTATATTAAGAAGGCATGCTTAAGTTTCTTGTAGGTAATTCTTCGTTTAAACATTGTGTTCTCTGTGGGAGTTTGCATTACAAGAGATTAAATTCTGAGAGAATGAAGAAACCTGCCATCATGATTTGTAACATTATGCTGTGAATCATTGTTAAACTCTTTATCATGCATCTACTGATTGTGTTGTATGCCCTTTTGATAGAAACTTCATTCTAATTATCTTCATTAAGTGATGTAATGGTAGACTTTGGGTAGTAGGAAATGAGACCTCTTATTACAGTCTCTGGTTTGTCATTCAATCCCTTATATGGTGACTAATGATAAAATAATTTTTTCAGAATAAGATGACAACTTTAGTAGTGTGTTTAAGCTGACTCCATTCTATAGAAGCATCTTTTACACTTAGATTCTTGTAGCTGATTACTTGATCTCTTCAAATTTTATGTACTTCAATTTTCTCTAGACACTTACTTTCATTTGGAAAACTTCAAATGAAAGCCTTCTTCCTTCCCTACCAGTTTTTTCTAAGCACCTACCGCACTCAGAACAAAATAGCCGTAGGCTCATTGCATTCTGACAGGAACATCGATATGAAGACTGGAATGTACTTGAAATTTTGATTTAATCTAGGATGGTAGGAAGGAGCCCCTCTTTTAAGCGGATCATAATTTTTTGGGCATGCTTACTCTGTTCTTCCATATATTAGATACATATTCATAAGCCAAAGTTTGTATTTATGTATTATATTGAGGGAAATAAAATATCTCAGACATTGTGTATACACTGATGAGGTTATCACACTTGTATTACTCCATTCACTCGTTTACACGTTTAGATTATGCTTATTTTGAAAATTTGGCTTATTCATGTGATTGTATTTCAGATGCACTGTGGCTATTGAGCTTAGAAGACCTCTATAAGTGGAAGTATGATATTCAATGGGAGATCAAGGGAAGGGAAAGACAAAGCAATAATTCAAGTCTGAGTGAGTTAAGGCATTTGCAACAACTTACAACTTTGAATATGCAGATAAAAAATACTTCAATTTTCTCTAGAGACTTGCTTTCATTTGGAAAACTTCAAAGCTACAAGAATGAGGGGATCATTCTACAATGCAGAAAAGACTTACATACAACTTGAAGGAGATTGTAAATGTTGACCAGCCTACCACTAGCTATTGGAGTAGAATTTGTATATTTGTTGTCTTGTTAGGTGTAGTATTTGGAGACTGATGTAAAAAAAGGAAGTTTTTCTTCCAAAAGCATAATGTGCCATTGTAATATGATTCAAAATCTTGTAACATTGTCCAAAATATGTCATTTGACATATTGTTGAATAAATGGATTTATATTGCAGATATAACATTTACATATTTCATGACAGCTTCCATGATAGAACTCTTAAGCAATAGATTGATTTAAAGATTGTGAATAACTATTGTATAAAACTAAATTAATTTCAGTTTAGAGCAGCCAAGCCAATTAGGTGTGAGTCTTAATATTTTTCTTGAAAGGCAGGTTCAGGATTTAATCTGTCAGAAAACACACAGTATTCAAGCTTTAATTTTCAGTTATCATTTGTCTATATCTGTTATGTGCATGAACTGAAAGTCAGCAATATATACATGTTAATAAATCATTTCTCCGAGGCATGACAACTTGCATGATAGCTTGCAGACCTCCTCATATCTTCAAAAAAACTTGTATGACAACTTGCATGATAGCTTGCAGACCTCCTCATACCATTCAAAAAAACTTGCATGTCAGCTTCCATGATAACTTGCAAACCTCCTACCACTCAAGAAGTACTTGCATGACAACTTCTATGGTTGACCTCTTAGCATTCAAAAAAAACTTGCATGACAACTTTCATGGCAGCTTGCAAGACCTCCAAAATATTGCATGTCAGCCTCCATGGTAGCCTGTAGGACTTCTTATCATTCAAAAAAACTTGCATGACAACTTATATCATACTGATCATTCTCTGTCATTTTGTTGAGTAGAAAAATAGTCATCCTTACTATGAGCTCTTGAGTTCTGTTGATCCTGAAAAAATAAGTTATTTTTCTATGTTATAGTATCACAATCAGTATGGAGGACAAACATAGTCATTTGTTGGAACTAAAATAGTATCATGAGATGTTATTCTATAATAATACCTGCATATATGGCACTTGAGAGATATATGGAATACAAAAAACTGGTGGAGCTGTATTAACATTTGCCACTTGAGAGATATATGGAAAATAATAAGGTGGTGGAGTTATATCAGCATTTGTCACTTGAGAGGTATATGGAAAATTATAAGCTGGTAGGGGTGTATAAGAGGTGCTAGAATCTTTAGCTGTCGTACTTGAAGCTTTTCCTAAATCACAAAAGAAGAGAACAACAATAATCATAACATCACATATAAATAAATAAATAGTATGATCCTAATTAATTTATTCATTGTACCTGTATCAATATGATTATGTCGTAGAGGTTTAAATGTATTAGCACCTTGAGATTTACCAAGAGCTTGTGATTGATGTCTCTTGCACCTTTTCTTTTCTAGCTGACTTTTAAGTCTAGCATTTGTAACTCCTCTTGCTCGAACACGATGCGGATCTAAGACTTTTTTTGAATTTAATGTATCATGCTCATCTATCTCTTCGCCACTAGTCTTACATTCAACTGCAGTCTTATCAATCATGCCACTAGTATTTTTTAAAATCATTTCCAATCTTTTTATCCCATGCTCTAGGTGATCTTCAGCCATTTTGGTTGTTTCATCTGTCAATGCACCTTTGGTTGCAAAATAAATGGCTTTCTTCATTATTTGACTCATACGGAAATTAATTCCTTGTTTACGATTGTCACAAACCTGGTTGCCATTGTTGCTGCTTATACTAAAACCATCTTTAGCATTTTTTGTCCACCTCTTCAAGATATATTGAGAAGGTATTTCAAAAATATTGTGAAAGTTAAGGACTTTCAGTGCATGAAGACATAAGAGGCCAACTGATTCAAACTTTTTACAAGTACATTCAATAGAGCAAGTTGCAGTTTCAAATGTCACAAAATACTGTTTGTCATCACCAAATTTAACTAACTTGTAACAAAACAAAGTGTCATTTTCATTGATTTTTTCAATTGCCACAGATAAAGATCCAAACAATTCTTCATAGAATTCTTCAAAAATAACATGAGTATATACCCGTGCAACTTGTTCAGTCATACCTGTAAGATAAGAAAATAAATTTTATCATCCATACCATTTTCATTCATTTTTTTTCGTTGTCAGAGATAAAGATTCAAACAATTCTAATACCTGCAAGTTCTTTTACTCTATGAGGTGCGGATTGATTGCACTCAAAGTCTTTTTGCAATTCTGACCATCATCTACGCTGCAAAACTTTTTCATAACGAAGTACAAATTGAGTTAGAGACATTGTCTTGCAAGTGACAGTACGAAAAACATTATTCATACTCTCACTTCTTTGTGTTGATAAGATGACAGCTGAGAAATAATTCTTACTAAATGCTGGGCACCAATTTGCTCGTAACTCATAATTTTTTTTCAACCATGAGCATTTTGAAATATCAACTTTTGTGACTAAACGAGCCCACACCTCTTCAAACTCTTGCTCTGATCCACAATTGTAGAGACACCTATTAAATAAAACCTTAAAATCAGGTTTTCTCAAGTAATAAGAAAGATGCTTAGCAGCATTTTGGCCAATATGCCACAAGCAAAGTCGATGTTGAGATTTAGGAAGAACTCTTTTAATAGCGTTGGCCATTGCTTGACATTGATCAGTGAAAATTGTTTTAGGTTGCAACCCATCCATTGCTTCCAAAAATGATTCAAATAACCAAACAAAGGACTCTGTTGTCTCATTCAATAAGAAAGCACAACCAAACAAAACACTTTGTTTATGATGATTTACTCCAATGAAAGGTGCACATGCCATGTTATACTTGTTTGTTCTATAGGTAGTGTCAAAAATGACTACATCCCCAAAGTGATTATAATCTGTTCTTGATATGCCATCACTCCAAAAAAATTAGTCATGCGATTTTCACAATCTACTTGCATTGTATAGAAGAAGGATGAGTCATTTGCTTGAAGACTTTTAAAATGATTAATAACACTTTGTGCATCTCCTGCTTCAAGAGTCTTGTTTCTTTTACTTTGTAAAAAATTATTACAATCAGATTTTAAAAATCCAACATTTTCAGCTCCTCCAGCAGCTTCAACAAAATATGAATACACACTACATGGTTTTAATCCAGCATTGTCCATATCTTCAATCATATTAGCTTGTGCTTCATCCACATGCCTTTGTGATCTTAACATAGCTCGTGCAAATGATTTCACAAGATCATGATTATGATCCGCAATGAACTTAGAAACAATCCAAGTATCATTCTCAATGTTAAAACGTATCATAGCTTGACAGCCCGTTCTTGTTTCTCTTCTATTTTTCTTGTTCACATGTGAAGGGTCCTTCATTTTTCTATATCCTTCTTTTCCACAAACATATGTTCTCTGACTTATGGTTCCATCTGCCAATCTTCGATATTTTGATTTTCACACCGTAAAACCAACCAATTTAGCATATCCATTATAAAACTTATAAGATTCATCTTCATTTAAAAACATCATTCCAATTTTTGGCTCATATCCATCTTGATCCTTACTCATAACCACCGACATCTCTATTTGTTCATTGTCATATTCACTGTCAGAACCAAATGAAGATAAATCCGAATATATAAAATTATCCATTTCTTTTTCAGAAGTTCCCATTTCCTCCATTTGCAAAATTCCTACAAAAAGATGCTCATTTTACACCATAAAGATGACCAGAAAACTCAAGTTCATACTGAATTTTTTTTAAAAAAAAACACAAGCATATGACAATCAAATTTATAATAGAAACAAGAAGAAGAATATGCACATTGTATTTTTACAAAACTGAACGAAGCTTATGAAAAACAATAGTCCCCCACATTATATATAAAAGTCACACACCTCTAACATGCACCTTTCTCTTCTATACAAAATATTCTGGTGAATCAGTGATGGAACTCTGGTTCAAAATATTGCAGTATATCAATAATGGGAAAGGCTTTGGCAAACGACAATCAAATTACAGTGATCAGATTCCGACGAACTTCTTGCAAGCTATGGAAAGAAATAGAAAATAATGAGTGAAAAGAGAAAGAATGAAGAAGGAAATGAAAACGTCATATGCAGAGTGAGGCGGGAGTAAAAAAAAAACGAAAGAGAAGGAGGGAAATGAAATAAAAATATATTAATGAATAATTATAATGATGTGGATTAATGAGTCTATGTGTAATATTTTGAATGGCTGGACCACCGCATGTTTAGATGAACCGGGATCGCCTCAAATTTTCTCAGTCTCCACAAGGACGGGATGTTCTTTGATTGTTATGCTGACTTCCCAAGTTCCAACAACTTCTTGATGACGACAAAGCACGTTTGTGAAAAAAGTATTATAAGTTTGGCAATGGCAAGGATATTGCAGTACGTTCCATTCACTTCCCTAGATTCATGTGAGCTTATCTAAAGGGCGTGAGGAATTTTTTTTTGAAAAAAAATTTGCTCAGAATATAGGGAGAAAATTTTTTGCCAGATAAATTAAAAAAGATATTTGGTAGGCTAAAATTTTTGGGAAAATTGAATGAAATTTATTGATGTTATGTTTGAATGATTATAAAATATTGATGGGAAAGTAAATGTAAATTATCAAAATGCTCACCATTTTGAATATTGAATGTCCCCTATACAGATGCAACAAATCTGCAACGGAATTTTTCGCATTTCTAGTGAACTGAAAAATAAAATAAATTAATAATGAACGAAATCATTTTATCAGATTTGTAATAAACCGGTGGAAAAAAAACAAGTAAATACAAATTCACAGAGTATGTTTCCGATTGCACAAATAAATAATACAGAGCTGGGATGTTAAAATGCATGCAACATGTGAACAAAAAGCGTTTATATGTAAGGATCTTTATATGCATGTGCAACACAAAATACAGATATGAACAAGCAAAAATGGTGACCTCCGTAAGCAGAAGAAAGATCCTGACATATTGAGACAAAGGCGCAGGGTAATTTCGTCAACCAAAAAGTGTTATAGCTTTACCACCGCTTAGCAAAAAAAAAATTCCACCCATTCGATGGCAAAATTCACGTGATGGTTTATGTGTAAAACAATTAGACGGGAATCTTTTTTTTTCACACCCCTTTCAACTGTTCCTCCTACCAAACATGGCCATATAATTTTCTCTACCCTCTTTTCTTGGGCAATTTTTTTTCCTCCTACCAAACAGCCCCTAAAGTCTAATTTTGTAGTAAATTAATATTTACATATTACTATAGTTTTATTTTGTGTATAATTTATTGTTGATATACATATATATATATATATATATATATATATTATTTACATTAATAATATTAATATAAGATATGTCGAACTTTTAATAAAATTATATAAAATAACATAATAAATGGAAATTTAAGTTAGTATATATAATGACCCCAACTGGTAGATCTTAATTAGAGATATAATTTAAGGATTTAAATGCCATAATTAGATTCAAAACGTGATTTCGAGTATTTTGATTGTAATCATGATTAGGTCATGAACAGTGCTTTATGTCGGGTGATCTGCATTGTTGTGAATCAACCGACAGAGCTTAAAATGAGCAAAATGAATTTAGAGACATAATTTGACAATTCTGCTGCCAAATATGAGTTCAGAACAAAAAATTGTATAGTCTGGCACTTTCCGTGAAAATCTCATGAATAGTGTTTTCTGCCGGATATTTTGTACCGCTGTTTAAGCAACCGGTAGAGTCCAGAACTAAATAATTGATGAAGTAAGAATAAGAAAGTCTAATATATGCCAAACAAGTCATAATAGACCCAAGAATGATAAGTTTATAAGTTTTAAGTTTCGTATGCAGACGGTGCACAGTTAGAGATTCACAGTGCATTTCATAAAAAACGGTGCAGAAACCATACTGTGAATTGAGAATATTGTTCCCTAGAAAATAAAAATTAATGTAAATAAGTTTAGAAAAATAAAAATATGTCTGTAGCTTTAAGTTAGTTCTGAGTCAATTTAAGTGAAATTAAGTGAGAGAAAAACAACCGGTAAAATGCCACATGTGCATATAAGTACAAGTCACTAAATCATGGCACTATTCATTTCAGATTTATCTCCTTCTCTCTCTCCATGGCCGAGCTTCTCACCATTGAAGGGCCTAGGTTTTCCACTTTGTTTTCCTTTGATTTCTCCTTCCATCTTCAACCAAATCATTAAGTGCATTACACAAAATTCATAGTAAATCACCCAAGGAATCCATTCCACCACTTGGTTTGGGCTAAAATTTCTTGTGTTAGGAGTTCTTCCGTTCCCCTTTTTTGAGTTACTATTCATCAAGTGTGAAAATTGAAGTTTTTGATGGAGCTTTGCTTGAAGGTTGTTCTCTAGGCTTTGTGTAAGGGATTAGAGGTAATGAATCTCTATTTCCATGGTTTCATTTTCATGATTTAAGTTTTGAAAATTTGAAGCATATTTTGGTGGGAAACTTTGAGTTCAAAATTTGAATTGATTATGGATTATGGTTGTTTTAGTTGTGATAATAAGCTACAAGTATGTGAACAAGTGTAATGTAGGAAAATCCCATAGTATTTGCTCCCCTATAATTTGGCCATGCTAGGGTAAGTAGGGTTTGATGTGCAAAATTTAATTGCTTGGTTTGTGAAGGTTGTTATGTTAGTGTAAGTTGTGAACTAAGTGTGAAATTGAGATTACAAAAAGAAAATCCCTTGGAAAACACCACATTATATTTCGGCCATCATGGTTCCAATGGGGGATGATTGTGTAAATTTTGTTTTGATGATGTGTTAGCACTCCAATGTGGTTCATTGATATCGTTATGAAACAAAATGACTTATGAAATGGTGAAAAATGTCCTGGTTCCCTATAGGTGTACCCCACGGCTTTGTGAAGAAAATGGGCAGGAATTATGTTTAAAATTCTTAGAGTATACCTAGTTAACTTAGGGATCAAGTGTGGGTTCTATGAACTATTGGCTGTGTCAATTATTTGATGCAAATTCCTAGTTTTTCCTTGATGTGGCTTCGGTCATGTAGGCTTTGTGGGGCTAGGAAATGTTAAAATTATAAAATGGTATTTTAGAAGCTTGGTTGGGTTATTTTAGGACCCTATGTGAGTATGAAACCATGAGGGTACTTGTGGTCCATGTAATCATCCTTAAAATGATCTAATAAAGGAATTTATGAAAGGATGGTCTTGACTTGTGTATTGGCATAGAATTGGCATAAATGTAAAGAAATGAAAGTAAACGATAAAATGTATGCCTTATGTAAATTCATGGCATTGTATAATTTTATTGATTTTGTTTTGGATTACTCCTCTAGGTGTGCCTAGGGACTGAGAGGGTTTGAATCCTGTTGGAGCTATATAAGTAACTTGTGCTACAAGTAAGTGAATTGGTAAAGCTTCAAGAGGTAAGCTCTATGTTTAAGGAGTCTTTTCCTACTTGAGTGCTCCACCATGGTTAGTGGACTATGGTTGGATTGTATGATTGTATTTGATGCTTTGTATAAATGCATTCATATAGTTATTTGATAATATGATATGTTTTGTTCTGATGTGATTTCTGTAATGATCTCTGGCCATTGATTTGTTTGTACACTGATGTCTGCCTAGGGTCCTCTCTCGGGACTGATTGTGTACACCTCTGATATGTTCTGGTTCCGCTTGGGGTCCTCCTTTGGGAATGACTGTGCACGCCTCTGATATGATATGTACATATGTTTTGTTCAGTTCTGATATCTGTTATATGACGCTTTGTATACTCTGTATCTGACTTTCATGCAGGAGTGGGCCCAAAGGTATGG